TTGAAAGAATAATTTGCTAGGTGTGTTTCCATAGGAAAACTTTCTGAGTAACTAAATGAGAACCCAGGCCCAGAGTTGACTCCAAAGAAGTGGCTGAGGAGAATTTGAAGGCTGGAGCAGGAAAGGTAAAGGTGTATGGTTTGAAAAGGTAAAGGTGTATGGCTTGGAAAGGATGAAGGTTACAATGACTCTCCCATCAGCTGGATGGTACAGTTTGGCTCCTGCAGTGCTGGCATATCGTACATGTTCCAGGACTGGGTCCTTTTAGGCGCTGGAATGGCAAAGGGCAAAGGCTGCGTTTCTTCACTAACTTTAGGAACGTGCCAGGCTCATCTGAGCTATGATTAAGAATTCATCCAACTAAGTAATAGGCTTTAAAACTTTTCTTGTTTTGCATTTTAGCTCTGCAGGCTTTGTTTTAAAACGCTTTATGAAAAAGGTGAAAAATAAATTTCTCTAATTTGCAGAAATCGTCTTCCTCACGACAGCAACAGACCCTCTATGAACCTCCAGTCCTCTTCAAGACTGAAGACTATTTTCCATGTCTTAATGAAGCACCTTATTGATGATTTTTTGCTTTAGGATTGATATGAATCAGCCAGAATAGAGAAGCCAAGTGAACAAAAGGAATGCCAACCTCAGAACAGCTGCATTTTCTAAGCACTATTGATGGCATATTGCCATTCTGATTCTCATTGTCTTCCCTCAGGCAATATTTTCAGGTAATCTTTGTTTGTGCACATTATTTCAAAAGCCTTCCTAAAACACCATGTAAGTTTTCAGATTATTTTGGGGAAGGAATTTAAGAATATTTTTACATTACTTTTTTTTTAATATGGAAATAATAGGAAACATACTATTGTATATAAGTTTTTTAACACATAAATATCTGTGCTGCTGTGCATGTAAATAGCTATATCGCAAGCAGGGGGTTTATTTGTCTTTTTTCATAATGTGCTGATTGAGGTGAAAGAAAAACTATGCATTAGGTTTCACATCTATTCCAAGGTTTTAAGCCTGGTCCCTGCAGTTTGTACAGAGAAATGCACCACATTGGGATTTACTTGTTGCAGGGACAGGACTTGGGAGGTTGTCCAGGAATCAAGGACATGGCTCAATCCATGTGATGTAGTCCTAGTTCATAAAGCAAACATCCTGCCCCACTGATGATCCTCAGGTCCCAGTGACCCAAACTTTTAATTATTGCATCATTGTGTTGTTTGATGTATAACCAGGTGGACGTGAAATAAATTTATATAGAGAGAGAGATATAGATGTATAAAACCTGCTGTCAAAAAGAACAAGTGTCTAAGTTGGGGAGGGATGACCCTGGACTGAACTTCAGTTAGGTACCTGACCAGATTGCTTTTCCTTCACAACTCTTTGTGGATACTGAGGCTTCCCACGCTGATTGCAATTTGTATTATCAATAAACTAATAGCTGGCTAACCCCTGTTGTGGTCTTGCATTTCACTGGACAGTATTTACCCACCTAGCAGGTGTTAGTCATAAATTGATGTATTCCTCTGAACAAGTTTTATCTCTGCTGCTCTATTGCCAGTGTAACTCACTACAATACTCAAAATACAAGTCTGGGAGGAATGCTTTAGAGAAACAGTATTTCTCTAGATTTCATGTTGCACACACAAAACAGGTATGAAGTTGCAGAGCAGAGATTGTATATTAATACATCTTGTCTCCAAAGACCAGCAGAGATTGGGTTCTAAACATCTTAAATGTATCTGAAGCATTATTTATTAAAATTTAAAACAAAGATTTTCAAGTCCAAGTTAGTAGGCTCTAAAAGTAGTTCTGATGTAAAACTTACCTGAATTTTAACATAGGAAAATAATCACATAAATATGCAGAAAGAAAGAAACATGACTTTGAAGCAGGGCTCCCCTCCCATCCTCCTTGTTTTCATAAATAATTCATTATTCAGATGTTCCACTGGAGCAACAGTTGCATTTCTAAAAGGCGTGGTTCCTTTCAGTGTATGCATAAATAATGCTTGAAAGTTTATCCCTCCTCAGTGAGATCTAATAAAATTACACACTTAGTGTAGCAACAGAAAGCTGCAGTCAGGTACTCTTAAACATGCTAACACTGGTATAAAAAAAAAAGTAATCTTTAGAGCAACTTTCTAATTAAATGAATCACCTTCTCAAATAACTTTGTCCTCTGCTGTGTGGAGCCAAAATGCAATTTCTTTTAAAAAGATGATGTTTGAAATATTAATAAAGATTTCAGCAAGTTTATACAGCTGAATATTTTTCACACAATGTTTTTCATATTAGTAAGAGTGAACATTCATATATCCTGCAGTGGGCATTTTTGTTGAAGTGTTGTATGGAAAAAAAGAGCTGTATCTTCAAGGCACACCACCAATAAAAATCAGACAGTTCCTATAATTAGTATAGCTCTATGTTGGAAATTCTCCAAAATATTTTTATTGCTGAAAATAATGGACAATACATGGAAAATTTGTTAAGGAAATGCTGCAAAAGACAGTAAATTAATTGTGGCTTTTAAAAGACATGGTACAAAATACCAAGGTCACTGTTCATCTGTTACAAAATAAGGCTCATGGCTATGAAATTAAGGCATTCTCATAATACTGACAAAATGCACCCTGCTGTTGGTTTGTTTGTACCTTTGCTGTCTCCTTATTCATGGTCAGCCTCACCTTGCAGGAATAGCACAAAAAACATCCCAGGTGTTCACACTCAGTAAAGAAATACTCAGAATATTCCTTAATTCTGTCTGCTGTTACCTTGCATTAGTGTAAAACCAGTAATAACTATATTGTGAATTAGGTTCAATATTTACTGGGTTTCCCAGCTGTGAACAAAATCTGAATCTCAAAATCCACTGATACCAATATTCACAGCCCCAGAAGGCTCTACCTGCATCTTTCCCTACACCATGTTTATCCTCTTGCCTGAGTTCCAGGATACAAGCCAGTACCTATGGGGCTACATCACCTGTTTTTCACATGAGAGCTCTTCATATAGAACTGGCGTAAAGCAAGATGTGGTTGTGCTCTGCTGCTAAAGGTTGAGTATCAGGCACATGAAATGAGCTGGTGTTTAATATCAACAAAGTAGTCTACATACACATCTTACTTTTCTTTCTATGTCATTAAGCAAACATTTTAAAGCAATCCTAGCAAAAGTAATGCTAAAAGTTTTTATATTCCTATAGTTATGTGCATTCTAGGCCCATGTTAAAATTAGCATTAGCCTAATGCTAATTGAAACTAATGCAGCTTTTTAAAAGTTATCTGTTTGCTGTACAATGTATGTCAATATGTCACAGAAGCTGCATTCACAAGATAGTCACAGTGAGGTTATATCACAGTCAGGTTGGACTGAATGTCAGAGGCCTACACTTTTCATAGCTCCTGGACACAAATGAGCATGATCTGTCTCGCATAGGTGTTTAATTATATGATAAACTCTGCCTGAAGTCAGCACATAAAGATTGATATTTATATTTAATATTTTTTGGACCAGCAGATTTTGTTCCAATCAAGCAGTGCTGCAACTGCAGTAAAGCCCAAAGAAATTACAGAAGGATGCAGATGACTGAAATGGAAAGAAACAGGTTTGATTATTTATCTGATCAAATAAGATAAATTACTTAAAGATGCACTGGATTACATTGACATAAAAACTTGTGGCATTTCATTACTTCTGCTGACAATAACCTTCAGGGTTAAGTAGTTTTACTTACAACACTAAGAATTAAGTAGCAAGGTAAAGCTGTAAAGAGTGATCCTGAGTGAAAGACATAGCAGAATGAATAGGAAGAGGAAGACAGCTTGCACCTTTGTCTGTGAAAAGAACTTTATATTTGGCATTGGTAAATAATGCTCCCATTTAAAACAAAAAAAAAAAAAAAAGAAAAAGAGGAAAATGTTTTTTAAGTGATTACTTTTTTAAACTCCCTCACTTTTCATAGAAAAGATATTGGTCTTGCACCAGCTACCAAGAAAATCCTTGAAAAGCTAAAATCCCTGTCAGATACAGCTATGGTCAAAGAGGACCATAACAGGAGTTGTCATCTTTCCAGCCACTGCAGCTAAGTCCATCAGGGGTGAGGAGTTTCCAGCTGCTGGGACTCCCATCCGTGTAGGAGCTGAGCTGCTGTGGCAGGCTGTGCTGCAGTGGCAGAGCAGAGGCTTTGTCCCTCAGCTGCTCTTGCTGATTCTACTCCAAGCCGATGGGTGGTAGTACAGCCTAAAGATGGTAGTGCAGACTCCAGCGGATCTCAGAGATTTGGAGAGTGTTCTTGACTTTCTTGCTTGATGTTATCTATTCCCAAACTCTTTCAATGCTGGTCATTTTTTATGATTTGGAAAAACTGTAAAGGATATAGGAATGGTGCATGATGTCTTAATAAGGAACAAGAAAATAGAAAAAAGGAGGACAGGTGTTGCTCATGGGCAATGCCAGGGACACAGAATGCAATCACCTATAGATACAGACTGTGAAAAGGAAAATTAAAATAATGCCTCTGGAATTATGTCAGAATAAAGGATATGGTAGGGAAACCAAAATATCCTGTGTAAAATCCACATGGAAGATTCAAAATGATATTTCATTTTTGTCCGCTTTAATATTGTCTGTACATTCTTTGGTGGACTGTTAAAGTGAAACAAATACATTAAAATTGCATCAATATTCATTCCAATGTGCTATCTATATGGGATCTTAAATAGTATATTTTAAAAGTGTATCAAAAATACAGATATATGAATGTGCTGACAGACCTAAGAAAATGAACTGAATGTTAGCAAGAATTTCATCAGAGGGTTCAGAGTGAAAAGACAAAGGGACAGAATTCATTGGGGGAAAGTGCACTCACTGAGAAAAGAAGGATAAGTATCCAATTCAATTTCTCATCTCCCACTGTTTCAGAAGCTGTAGGTTTCATGAGAATAGCTCAATGCCTACATTATTTAAAATTAAATTAATTGCCATCTGTTCCTTACAGGTGACACTGTTGGGAGTTTCTTTACAAGCAAAGCAACCTTTAAGAAAAAACAAAGGCAGAAATTTCCACAATCCTAGGACATTAAAACTGAGGGCTGGCACTAAATATGACAGAAGCACCTGAGAACTGCAGACTGGCAATAAAGCTGGTTCTGATTGATTCATAAAAATAAAATTTAAAAAAGGAAAAAAATGAATGGTAAGAGCCTTATGCAGGAATGGAAGAGGCAGAAAATAGCATAGCCAGGGCATGTGCCAAGGTGTGAAATTGTGGTGACAGAGCTGTGAGCAGCATCAGCAGACGAGGGCAAGATCCCTGAACTGGAAGGTAAGAATGGAGATCCACAACAGATATTACATATATATGTGATGTTGTTATTTTTTCACAGTTTAGGAGTTTTTTTTTCTCCCTCCAGTGTGCACTTTTCCCAAGTATATAGTTTTGGGAGGGGCTATAACTGTACTAGAACTGTAGACCAGTTCTAGTGTGTGTGTCTGGACCAGGCTGCTGTTACTGCTTCTGGTTACTGCCTCTTTCTCAAAAGCAATAGGACTTCCAGGTAGCTAGCCAGATCATTGGACTGTTCTGGCTAAAAATCAGTGCTGCCAAGCCAAACAGTCCAGCCCCAGCACTGATGTCTTGGCACAAAGGTGAGGGGTGACACTCCTCTACTCCCAGCCATCCCCCTGAGAAGGCAAGCAAAGCACTTACTCTGGCAGTGTGTCCCCATGTACAGCTGGGGAGGTGCCTGCTGTGGAATTAACATCTGTTTCCTTCATGTGTCTTTGATTAGCCCTTTTCTCTACAGGGATGGCTTTGCAATTTGTATGGAAACACAGAGGGAAAGAAGAACAGGAAAGAAAAAAGGTATTGGGAATAACCTTCTTGTTGTCATTACAGAGATGTCTGTGTGTCCTGCTCAGATGCCTGCTTCCACTAAAATGTGATGGTTCATCTGCTAGTGATACACAGTGCCCTTATTCTTGGTGTCAGGGGTTGCTGAGAACTTTTGTGGAAGTGTGCTTGTTGCATCTAAAATCCAGTGTATTATCAAGCAAAAAAATATTTGGGAAGAAAAATACTAAACAATATAATTGAACAAAAATTGTATTTTCTTTCTGGATTTATTAGCTTGACTTCTCCTGAATTTCATTGTGTTTCTGTAGTTGAAGAACAACACAAAGCAGTAATGCCAGAGGAATCTTGCCTAAGGAAAATCAAGTAGGATATTGTTAGGTAACAAGGTAGATGAGCAGTGCCATTGCAAACTCATTACATGTACCAGTGAGATAAGTCAAGATTCGGCTAAGTGAGTTGGATGGAATTATGAGGACATAGAGTCAATAACAGAAAGAGGCCAGTGAAAGCAGGGTTATAGGAGATACCCTTGCCCATCTTGAATAGTGTTCTGTCTCTCATTAGTTTGCACTATGGGACTGCCTGTGGGCGTAAAATGGATTCTTTTGGGACTGAATACAGCCAGAGACTTGCTCAGGAGTTTAGCTGACTTGCTGCAACTGCTGTTGGGTGTTCATTCCATGCTGCTGGCCATGCACTAGTTTTAGGCGAAGATGAAATTCAATTAAACATTAAGCTACAAATCTGCCTGAACTACTGTGCTGAAGTACTTGCTAGCTCAGTCATAGACCCAGGGTGGTAAACACCACTCTGCAGGGGTAAGAAGACTGAACCAAAACTCTGGGATGAATGCAGATGTGATGGTGCTTCAATATGGATATTGTGGGGATTGTGAAAAGCCTGATGTAAATGTCAGGTAAGAAAGCTGCTGGAGAGGAGATGATGGAGGGGTAGACATAGATCTAACTGGAGTAAGTTCAGTTCAGGTCCACAAAGACAATTAGGGACTGGAACATCTCCTGTGAGGAGTGTCTGGGAGAACTGGGATGGTTCATCCTGAAGAAAACTCATTCATTTGTATAAATGGTGATCTCATTCATTTGTATAAATACCTGAAGGGAGGGAGTGGAGGAGAGGGAGACAAGCAATTCTCAGCAGTGCCCACTGGTAGGACAAGAGGCAGTGTGCGCAAAAATAAAATCTCCTTGCCAAAGCACCTTCTCTGTTGCATCCCACATTCATATTTTTGAACCCTGTTCCCACAAGCTTCTTTTAATATCCTCTAATTCTTGTATTGGAGGACACAATCAACAATCATGAGCCATCTGTGTTGCTCATCCTCTTGTAGTAATCTCCGTTATTTCCTTTTCCGTGATCTCTTCCGCTGGCTGAAGAATCACAGAATGGCCTGGATTTGAAGGGACCTTAAAGATCATCTGGTTCACCCCTCACCCTGGGCAAGGACACTTTCCTCTAGAACAGATTGCTTAAAGCCCTGTTATTTTGTGTATGAAGCTTCCATGGTTTTGCTGCCTTTCTCTGATCCTTTCCCACTAATGCTGTATCCTATTTGAGATCAGAAAGCTGGGACTACCCATGTAATTTAAGGCAGAAGCAAATCAGAGGTTTAAACAGTACCACAGCCTGCCTTTTTCTTGTTTCTTCTCTACTTATTTCCCTGTATCAGATGTGCTTCCTTGTCTTGTTCTGAATGTTTAAACTGATGGTTTCCAGGACCTATGAGAGTTGTGTGATCTCATTTATGAGTAACTGCTCAAATTTACTTTCTGACTCATAATGTGGTTCATGTACAAGGATATTTTAATGTAATAGCTAAATCTGTGGCTGTTAAACAGGAGCTACTTCCAATCAGTAGGATGAGGTTTTGCTAAAACAAAGGTTATGTGGATCAGATATAAAAAGTTGTAGATTGTGGGGCAATGCACAAGAAGGCAAAATAGAGGTGCTGCATTGGTCAATGTGTTTGTGTGGATACACCACTACTGGAGGTCAGTAACTGGCCTGGTTGTCTGACCCCTTTGTGTATTTAGGGCTGTCATTTACCTTTTCTAATCATAGCTACAGAGCAGTGGTCCTGGCAAAATGGTGTTTAAACTCAACCTGAGGTACTGTGCTGAAGCAGAGAGCCCATGAAGCACACTCCAGATACTGTTCAGCTCACTGCAGCCTTGGAGGAGAGAAGGAACACTTTGAGGAAATGACAGAAACTCCCTTTCTTTTCAGTGCTCCCAAATCCTTCTTTGTGTCAAGCCTGTCCAGGGTACCTTCTTCTCCCCCTCTTTCCCTTAACTCCTCTGTATCCTCAGACTGAGCTGCCTCTTATGGAGCCCCTTTTCTCCCTGGTAGGGTGGAGGGGAAGCACTCTGAGCACCTGGACAGGTGAAAAGTGGGATTTCCTATGGAGGCTCCAGCTTTGAGCAAGTTGAGAGCAACCATGCTGAGAGGTTTACTCAGGTTCTTTTGTGAAGCGAGAACCCCTGTAGATCGAGCCATGTTGAGGAACATCCCAAGTCTGAAGTGGGTCTGAAGTGGGCATTTCACTGCCCTGCTCTGGTGAGATTAGTGTACTGTTACTCTCAGACATTTGGACGATCCAGAAGAATCTTAGCTGGGCCTCGAGAGAGAACAGCAGTGCTTGTGCTACACTCCTTTGGGCAACAGTACTTACACATTTTGTTCCCCAAACCTTTGCTTGGAACCCAGCCCTTGAGACCATTGTTGGTTCCAACCCCCACAGTGGCAGGGGGATTGGAACTAGGTGATCTTTAAGGTCCCTTCCAACCCAAACCATTTTGTAATTCTATGATGATGATTAATCACGCGCTACTTTTATCTCGCAGTGTGTAGGAAGAAGTTGAAGTGAATGACTATTCTGCAATCACAGTCTGCTGTTTTCTCTGTAAGAGTTTTGTGGATGTGGCCATTTGATAACAGCATAGTGCTTAGAAAAGAGGTATATAGCTTTGCTTTTGCACTCTTCTTCTTTCCAGCTCAGTTTATTTCATTTTCTTCAGCAACTGAGCATTATGGTCAAAATAAAAAGCAATACTGTGAAGACCAAGCTGTCTTGCAAGAAAAATTAACATCTCCAACTGTGTTCAAGTTGACTTTTTTTGATCTGCTACACAACATGGCTTAATTCACAGGTGAAATGGCAATACCAATACAGAGGCCAGAAGCAAAGCCTGGCATAAGTGCAAGAAGAGGAATATTCTCAAATATTCTACCATCTTTTATTTCCCATTTCCTTTTACATTTTTTAAAATTAGCAGTTTTATTGTTGTCTGATACAGCTTTGTGCATAATTTTTCAGTTTACTCACAATGTTATTCCTGTGTGATGTTTTTATAGTCATATAAATACTGTTGGGCCTTAGTGTTGCTTGTTAGTGGTGTCTAGGGAAGTCAGATTTGTTACATTTAGAATTGCTCACAAACTTTTTGTCTGCATGGTTTGACTTGTGGAGAAACTGCTCAGTGTTGTATTTAAAAGCAGGATGGGATGCATCCACACCTCCCTGGCAGGGCCTGCATTGACAGTGTGGTCCAATGTCTGTCCCAGCCTGCATGGACACCTAATTGTAACTGATAGATGCCAACTGATGGAATGAACTAATGACTCAAAACATTGATGATGACAGGCATTTGTATCAACTGGACCCATCAGAGCGTGCACATGTGGGAAGGTTCATCTCAGGCTTCCTTTATGTGTCTGAACCTGCCTGCCAGCAGGTGGGGATCTGCACAGGCAGCAGCTGGCTGGCTGCTACTTCCTCACTTGCACTGCTGCTGGAACAGAAATGTGCAGACTGAAATCCATGATGCTACCGGGGCCCTCACAACAGGCACAGAGCTCCACGGAGCCCTGCTTAGGGGGTTCCCTTGCCAGATAGAAGGGGGTATTTAGCTGTGTGCAGGCAGACCTCTGCAAAGGTAACCTGGGATCTGCCTGGGGCTCCTTGCTCTATCAAAAAGACATCTGTTTAATCCCGAATTTTTGCAGATTTAGCCATATATGGTTGCTCTATCAAAACATTTGTTTAATCCTGAATTTCTACAGATTTAGCCATATATGGTTGGCTGGTGGAGGGTCCTGGAGGAATATTGAAGGCTGTCAGCACATGGCTGTGAAGACCAAGCTGGATGAGACAGCAAGCAGCAGCAGCACAATCCCAGCTGAGCCCAGAAATCCACACTGCCACTTCCAACACAGGCCTTGCCAGGTCCACAGTCCTGGGGGAGCCTGTGGGGCACCACAGGAATGCCTGTGGCTACCCAGGGCTGGTCACAATGCAAGCAGCACATGGGGCAAGCTGGGGCACAGGAGAAAGAAAAAGAGGTGCAGGAAGCTTCCAGAAGAGGCAGGAAAGCAAAGAAGGGAAGTATCTGGTGGCACCAGAGGAGGTTATGAGACTGTGTGCGTTAGGGTCAATCACATCAAGGTAAAGAGAAGTGGCTGATGTGGGCAGGTGAAATGGATTTGCTTTATTAGGAGAAAAGGGAAAATAGAATAGAATGAGTAATGTTTTGTCATCTGAATACCCCAGTCAGTTTGACACCAAAATTTTAGCCACAGATTTTCAGGATGCAGATGAAATTGCTCTACTGCAGATGAGTTATCACTAACTTCCTGATTGTAATGATTCATGCACTTCCTTTCAAATTCCATTTTTCCTTCTCATGTGCTCTATAGCCTATTCCAGAAAGAATATTTATTACACCAGTCTTTACTAGGTAAGTGTTACTTTTCTTAGCCAGCTGTTTCTGTTCTGCTTTCCTTTTAACAGGAAGATGAAACAAGTAAAATTAGTCAGACCACATTGTACCTTTTTTTGCTCCTTTTCCAGAAAAAAATAGTAGATATGGCCATAGGAGGCAGAATACTGAACTCCTCTGACTGCACAGGGTATTTCTGTAGCTGTAATGTAGTTTTCTATGTCCACTATTAGATAATAATAATGTCATCCTAATATTCTCTCTGTGTAAAGGAATCATGTTTTGGAGGTGCTTTGACACATCATAAAGCAAATGGAAAACCCTGTTTGTTACCATTCACATTTTTGATACTGTTTGAGACTGGTAAAAGGAAATTAATGGCTTACAGCTTGAAAATTATCACTAGCAGTGGCTTTTATTTAATCACTCCTATTATTTTCAAAGGCTTGTTTGAATTCTTAATTATTAGTGTACATACCTCCTCTAAATTTCCATCTGATAATATTCTTCAGTAATGTTCTTTAGTGTGGAACTTTCAGGTGGTGTTAAAATAATAAAAGATTATTATTTTAATATTTTAAAATTCTCTTTTAAAAAAGGCTTTTAATCTTTTAAACCCTCTTTAATTGTTTCTCCCTCCTTCCTCTTTGCTTTTGTATGTCTCAGCTTACATTGCTTTCCTGTCTTTGATGAGTCATTGCATTTACTTTTTACTGATGCTTTTACATTTCAGGCTGGAGCATTGATTTTGGTTTCCTTGTTTTCTGATCAGAAAAAGCACAATTTTTTTTCCCTGTAGGTATCACTGGATTTTTGTCAGATCAGAGAAACCCTCTTTTTCTAAGTTGTGATTTCACAGCATGTGGTATACAAGTGTATCTGGTCATTTTTGAAAATGCTTGGTGCTGTTTCCTACTAGCAGTCCAGGTCCTGAAGCAATGTTGCTTTATAATTCAGCTGAATATTATAAAGATCTAAAACATAAACAGTATAAAATATAACAATCAAGTATGAGAATATAAATGAACATTTCAAATACCAGAGACTCCCACTTATACAAATATAAAATCCCTTTTACTCCTTGTCTTGGCCGTAGGGTGGCACTGGTTATTGCTGAGCATTGATGTGTGTCCTAGGAGTAGTACAACCCAGTATTTTAAGTTTAGCAGAGCATTTTCAGAGACTAGGGATCTGGTTCATTCAGACTGGTCCATGGTTTACTCACTCCTGCAAGCAAGTAAAACAGCAGCTTTTTCCTGACAGGGCTCTAATAGTACCAACTCCAGCTCTCCACCCTCCTCCCCAGCCAACTACTGCCACACAACAGAGAGACCGGGAAGAGATTTCCTTCTGCACCTTCTCTGACTTCCTTCTCCTCTTCTGCTGCCTGCCTTGCTGCCAGCAAAGGAAAATATCAGGCAGCTGTGAGAATGAATGCAGTCTCACACCCTGCGGTTTCCTCCTCTGGGTGGTGATCAGCTGCCCTCATGCCTCTTCTCTGTGACCCCATCAGCTGTCAGTGACACTCCCTCAACCTGTGTCTCAGCCCTGCCAGTGGAACCACCACAGGAGGAGCAGTGTGTTGGTGAAGGGATGTTGCCTTTCCCCACCTGCTACTGCTACTTGCATAAGAAGAAAAAACCCAACCCTTGCATCTTTTTTTTTTCTTTACTTACCATAGAGCCAAGCCTACAGAGGTGGACAAAGGATAATTAAATCCTGATGAGCCAGCAGACTTGGCACAAAACCAAGAAGAACCTTGAAATATTCAAAGGCATTGTAAAATAATGGGAAGCATTAACCTCAGATCATTTTTGTGATGATGAGAAGATGAAAGTTGGAAACACGTAACTGAATTACTGTTTGTAGATATGCAGCACTTCTGAAGTTAAATCAAAGTATCATGTTCACTGTAGTTAAAGTGGTTAATATTTGCCAGATTAACTTGAGGCATTTTGATGTAAAGTGTAGATAATAGTGGCGCAGCGTGCTTACACAGATGAAATGAGACATACTCACCTCCAATGCTTTTCACAGAAACACACCATCAGCACAGCTCCTCTTTAACCTGCAAAATCTTATTTTACTAATACCTTCTACAGGTTATGTTGTAACAGTGCAGGAAGTGATTCATTTTAGACATACAAATGTAGTTGTACTTCAAAGTGCTTTATCACTTTTCTGTTTCAACTTCATGTACAGCAGGTGGGTAAAACTTCAACATCATTTAGCTGTATGAGAGCCCCATGGGCTATGCCCACTGTGGCAGCAGATCTATTTGTCAGCAGAATTTCTTCTCACAGCCTACTCTTATCAGAAGACAGATGCGATTACTAAGCTAAAATGGTATGTGAAAACATATGGTGTTTTGGAGCTGCTTGGTTACTGTGGAGGATAAATAGCTCCTGACCCTAACCAGGATCTTTTCATGAAAAAAGAGCGGTGTCCCTATGCCTTATAAAGGCATGGGCAGGCTTATTCCAGCGCTCAAGAAGGGGCGGTAGCGGTTCGTGCTGCTGAGTTGTGTGGCTTTTTTTTTCCAGCAGCAGTCGCAGGCGAATGAAGAAGTTGAGCTGAAACTGCGAACACTTCATCCCGGCACTTAGCGGCAAAACTCGGTCAAGAGAGGAGGAAGCAGGTGAAATTAAAAAAAAAAAAAAAAAAAAAAGAAACCCACTTGGTCATGGGGAAATCAGGTGAGCAAATGCCTTCGTGCAGTTGGCTGTGTGGTCGCACAAAGTCCGTGCCTGGTTTTGTGCTTGGAAAGCATTGCTAAAGCGTTCAGTGGCTTTCCTCGGAGAAGGCTGCTTTCATTTGTGCATGGTACAGCCTGGGAGGAGCTTTCTCTCTGACAAAGGGTTGGATTGAAAAAAAGAAAAGAAAAGCGACCCCCCTCCTCAGCCTGCACAGTGTAGAGGTAGTTGTATTTCATATACAACTTTATAAAGTTTGTATTTTGTAACTTAAAGTACTTTAGCTTTGCTGTAAAAAATGGCTATGAATCCTGTAGCTTTAAAGTTATTCTGTGTCTTGCTGTGTGACAGAACTTATTAGCCTTGCAGATAAGCTGCAGGATGCTTCGAGGGGGGTAAGCTTTATCACCTTCCTGTCGGAAGGATTTAGATGTAAGATCTGGTTACTATTTAACTGCGGACAGACTTGCTCAGCTCTTAAGTCTCTCCCCAGCTGTGCGCATTTTCTTTCAGCCTTTCCCTGCTGCTGCTGCCTATGCTTTGGTTCTTACCCCACTGCTGCTGGCTGTCTGTGTGCCCTGTTCAGTTTGGGCTGGAGAGACTTCTCCAAAGCTGCCAAGGAGCCAGAGACCTTCAGAAGGGAGTGCTCAGTGCCCCGGGTTTTCTCCGCCTTTGTCCTGTTAAGGCCATGAGTAAAAAACTGTCCTGAATTTCTGAAACAGCAGTGAAACTGGATGGGACTTTTTGTTCTTGTTCTTAGGGCATTGTTTCTGTGACAAATCAGAGCCTAGTGGCATGTTGTCTGTCTGTCCTGTGTGTGAACAGCACATATGGGGACATGCTCAGCAAAACCTAGAACTCGATTAACTCAAAACTTTACGCCTCTTCAGAGAAACTTAAAGAAAATCTTTGTGTGAGTAACACTTTAAAGGGCCTCAGCATGGGCATATTGGGTTTTTAAAAAATTTTCTTTATTTTTAAAGGTCAGCTTGCTAGATGAGATCAGAGTTGTCTGCAAATATGACTGTAGAGGGCTTACTGGTATGACACCCAGTCCAGACAAGCCACCTGCTTTTTTTTTTGGCAAAGTCCAGCTGCCAGTGGGTGGGTTTGGCCTCATAACCTGACAGCTAGATTGGGATAAATAACCCTATAACAATTTAAATAAGCATAGTCGCTGTGAAGTATCAAGTTCAGCACTTCCCATGCTAAGAAGTACAAATACCAAATCAGTGTAGTGCCTTTACATTACATTAGCAAAGCACATTGGGCAAAAGCAGTAGATATACTCCACTGTGCATCTCACAATCCCAAAAGGAATAAAAATCTCCTTTTGTTTTAATGCATGAAAATTGCTAAAAGAATCGTAAGGCAATTACCATCTTCATTTTTTTCCCTTGCATATTTATTGCTGTGCATTAGTTGATTTTTACAAACTTAGGAACAATGGCAGACCAGAAACTCCCTTTGCCAAGGCTTGGGTAATGTTTGCAGCCTTAAGTGGTTATACAAATAGAACTTGAGATCTAGGTATGTGTTAAGAATGTTTTCTATTTGTGTCATGCTTTTCAAACCAATGTTAAACTACGTCCAGGTTATTGTCTTTGAGCTGTGTGCAATATTTTTAGATGAATCATAAAACTGAGATCCTGTCCTGACAATTGGTTTATTGACTAGATCCCATCTGCCCTTTCTAGTTCCCTGAAGTCTTCAAATTCCTCTCTGAGATCATTCAGTGTGGTTTGCCTTTGAATGGGGAGAGCAGCTGTTGTACAGGGTATTGCTTCCTCTGTGCTTTTTATGAAATACAAAATTGTTCCTGCTCTAGTGCTCTTAAGGTGTGATGCAGACAAATTTCTCTGTACTAAGGTACATGAACATGTAACTGGTTGCATGACAAATCTGTTTGACCTCAGAACAGATCCCTTGCTCCTTTTCTGGGTCAGAGAAGTTAAGGCAGGGATTACCTGAAGGTTTAATTTAAGGATGCTCTAAGTCATGACAAGCAGGCCCACTACTTTAAATGAGCAGTTTCTTTAACTTCTTGGTTTTGGTAAATCTGTCTTGAGGTCTAAGTATCCCCACGCAAAGAAAACCTGCTATTGGAAATCCCAGTTCTTCGGTAAAAACTCTCCAATAATGTTGTAATACTAGTTGTTAGATTATATTTCAAGCAATGCTCATTCCAAGTGTCAGAGCTAGAGACTTAGCACTCTGTGTTTCATTGGATAGAGCTGAATGTTGAAACCATCAGCACCTCTGACTCAGCTTTCTTCCCTGTAAGCTACAGGCTGATGAAACCAAATTCATACTGAAACTTCCTTGTCAGGGTTAGAAAATGCCTCCCGTGGTCATAACTCCTGCAAACACTTAAGCCAAACACGGAGACCCCCTCTGCCCTCCCCCAGGTCTTCCCTTTTCAGACACCATTTGGATTACTGGGGGGTGCATGCAGCCGTCCCCATAGATCCCAGAGAGCTCTAACCAAGAAGACAGGGACAATATTTCTGCAGGAAAGGAGGGGATGGGGAGCTGGCAGCTCTTGGCTGCCCTGTTGCTGAGACTGCCTTGCTGGCAGGGCTCTGACCCCGCTGCAGCTGTGCGCGGCCGGAGGCGGGGTCCTGCGGGCAGCCCTCGCCCCACGGGGGATATCCATCCCTCCCAGCAGCTGCAGGCGATGCTCAGGAAAGCAGCTGGCTGCGAGCTCCACTCCTCCGCTCTGGAGCACGTGGATTTCTGCTGAGCAGTGGGAGTCTCTGAATAGGCTGGCATGGCGGTAGGAAAGGCTGCTAAAAGTCTTATTTCTCCCACTTCCCCCCGGGTTCAACCTCGTGGGGGAAGGGAGCTTGCCCCACTTGCTCCCTGTGGGAGAATAGCTCTCTTTACTCTGGCAAGTGTGTGCAGACGGTGTTAAGGTCAGGCACAGTAAATACGGCAATCATTTTACAGAGTTTGGTTTTGTTTCATTTTTCTGCTGGTTTTCCTTTTTTCTGCCACTTCTACAAATGTGGGCGGGACTCCAGAGAAAGGGCTGGGAGTTACCCACTGCTCTGCGTGTTGAGTCAGTACAAAAAAACAAAACATAACAAAGAGGGGCTGAGAAAGGGTTTTGAGAAAAGGAAAAGAGACAGGAACCAGACTCAATGCAGTTTTCCATGCTAGTTTTAATCTCATTTAGAAGCATGTGCTGGTTTTTAACTCTTCAGATGCATCTTCAGAGTACAGTAAAAAGGACTGTTGTGTTTTCTGCAGAACGAGCTATGTCTTCGGCTGAAATACTGACTTGTATTTCAGCATCCTGGTAAGAGACAGCCATGTCAGGTCATGAGAAAAATACAGGCATACTGGACAAGTGACCTGTTTGCTTTCTGAGAAATCAGATACTCCCAAGCTGCCAAAATGGTAAAGAGTTATGCTGGCTTTACAGTACTGGAGGGGATAGGGAAGATGGATTGTTTTGAACTGCTAGAAACTGAGCTTTTGCATTTGGTAACATTGGGATAGTTGCAGAACTAGCCAACACAAGTTACTGTCTTTTTCTTTACACCAGAACTGAACTGGCGGTGTGGTGGGAAAATGACTTTGCAAAACCAAAGTTAATTCAATTCTTAGTCCCACATCTACAATTGTGTGTAGAAGACATTGATTGCTGGGTTCAAGTTCAATAAGTAGCAGAGAAAAAAGTCTTCCAGGAACGTGTCAGGCTTTGGCAGTATTCTGGGCCCAATTTCTACCTGTCTGTTGAAGCATCAGGGTTTTGGTGGGGGAGGAGAGTGCAGCAGCCACCGTGTGCAACAGCGGTTGCTCCTGTCAGCTGTTGGTTTATACCCTTAGCTCCTCGTGTCCAAAGCAGATAAATACTGATGCAAGTGGGAAGGGCTGAGGAAGAATAAGATAGAATGTGATGGTCTGTAGTAACTGAGATACCTACCAAGGTTTCCCATGCTATTTTGCTGTACATAAAAAAAAAAAATTGAGGATGAAGAAAGCTTTTATTACATGCAAACCCTGCATTTTCTATCCATACAGTTGGTAGTGTGTGTCCTGCCTAGGTTTGAATTTGCTTCTGTTGATGCTCTAAGTCCAGGAACAAAAAGTATGAGAAAACAAGTATTTTGATTTTAACTGTTTTGTTGTTTATTATTTATCTCAACAGGCCAGAAGGCCGTGTCAGAGCTCTCGTTCTGTAGTGGCTATGCTGTTCTCCGAAAGATAAGTTGGAGCCTATCTGTGTTCTGTTTTTACAGGCAGATCTAGGCAAGTTCTGCCCATTCTGTGAAGGTCTGAACAGCAGCCAGAGCTGGGCTGGGTGGCCCTGTATAGGGGGATGAGGTGAGGCTGTGTGGGTGCCCAATCTCCCTGGTGCAGAACTGGCTCCCGTGCAAGTAGGTGAGAGGAGGTGGTAGGAGTTCTGGGGTGTTTTGTAGGAAGAAAATATGGGTCTGTTTAGGTCACTGTAAACATTTAATGTATCCCTGGAAATGTTCAAGGTCAGGCCAGATGAAGCTGGGGTAGGTTGAGCAATAGGGTATAGTTGAAGGTGTCCCTGCTCAGTGCAGGAGGATTGGCCTAGATGATCTTCAAAGGTCCCTTTCAATCCAAACAGTTCTATTATTCTATGATTCTATGAAATAAATACCCTTTAAAAAAAGATTTTATATTGTGAGAACTGGAGTTTAACCTGTTGAGCAGAGGGATGAAAAACAGGCGGTGTAATTGATAGTAAATGTGAGTAAAGAAAAATTTCTGTGCCTCCCTGCCTGACTTTGGGTACTGGATGGGTGAGTTCACACAGATCAGTGATCAGAAGAAATGTGCATGGCCATATTTCCATGCCTCAGGGAGGTGCATAAGTAAACATACTTTGAGCATTGCCACAGCTATCTTGGATGTCCTTGGCAGAAAAACAAGGTGGGAGGACATTGGAGCTGATGAGATTAAAACTAGTTCAGGTATGCTTACCCCAAACCATGATAGAACATGAATGGTAGAGGTGTAAAATG